TTTTTTTTTTTTTTTGGTCTTTTTGAGACAGGGTCTCCCTGTAGCCCTAGTGGCCTGGAACTCACTATGTAGACGAGGCTGGTCTCAAACTCAAGAGATCTGCCTGCCTCTGCCTCCAGAGTGCCGGGACTAAAGGTGTGCACCACCATGCCCAGCTTTAAAGTATTTCTTATAATAAAACAAAACATATAAAATACCTAGATATAAATGAACAAAATATGTGCAAAATAATGCTGAACACTGAAATATGGACTTCGGTAGCCCCCAGATGACCTCTAATGAGCTGTGCCATCTGGAGTGTAGACTGGACTAAATGACTGGATTCTAACCAACAGAACAAAGCAACAATGATGGATGCCACATCTGTGATTGGACTGCAAACACTGCAGCTTCTAAATCTTGCTGGTAGACGCTCTCTACTGCCCTCTCAGCTTGCACATGCTGACAATACAAGCTGCTCATGTTCTGCAATAGCTGGTGAAGAATTGAGACCCTCAATGGAAGAGTCTACACAAAATGGAATCCTACCAATGCCAAAGCTTGGAAGCAGATCCTTCCCTGCTCGAGCTAATTCTAAATTTCAACATTCATAGCAAAACCAGAAAATCTTTGACTTTCGCTGAGTGCTTACAATAACGACAAAAACATAATCCACTGAACAAAACTGACACATTGTACTCCAAAAAAAACTGTTTAGTGACAGCCTAAGAGATGGCTCAGTGTGGAAGAGGAAGTACCGCATTTCCAGAGGACCCAAGTTCAGATGCCAGTACCCACATAGAGTGGTTAACAAATACCTGTAACTCCAACTCCAGGGGATTGATCACCCTCTTTTCATCTCCAAGGGCATTCTATGCACATGGTGCACAAACATATATGTAGGCAAAAACACTCAAGCATATAAAATAAAAATACATTTTTTAAAAAAGTTACAGAGATATCGCATATCATTACATGTTACACTTTTGGCTAAAGTCAAAAATAAAATGTTGACAATATCAAGTGTTGACAGAGCTGTGGAAAGTGAACCCAACCCAACCTTTCCCTTCAAGTCTCAACCCTGACAATCACTGTTTTCTGTCTCTGTTGTTTTGTCTTTTCCAAAATACCATAAAAATGGAAGCACATGGTGTACTCCTTGAGTCTCAGCACAGAAAGGGGCACTGAGCACGAAGGTGGAACTAGGACCAGCTGCCTGTTTTTACACTGGCTTATAAATTAAGAATAATTTTTAAATGGTTGGAGAAAGAATCAAAAGAATAAGACTTCATTGTCTAAAAATTTTACTTCGTGGCTGGAGAGCCAGCTCAGTGGTTAAGAGCACTGGCTACTCTTGCAGAGGACCCAGGTTCAGTTCCCAGCAGCTACACTGCAGCTCACAACTGTCTCTAGCTCTAATTCCAGTTTCAAGGGCTCTGATGCCCTCTTCTGGCCTCTGCAGGAACCAGGCAAGCAATGATGCATTTACATACATGCAGGCAAACACACACATAAAATAAAAATAATAAAATATTTTTAAAGATTTATTTTGGGGCTGGAGAGATGGCTCAGCGGTTCAGAACACTGGTTGTTCTTGCAGAAGATCCGGGATAAAATCCCAGCACCCACATGGCAACTAACAACTGTCCATAACTCCAGTTCCAGGGCATCTGATGGCCTCTTCTGTCCTCTGTGGGCATTGCACAACAGGGATGCACTTACCTACATGCAGGCAATACACACATACAAAAAAAAAAAGATGTATTTATTTTTATTTTATGTATGTAAGTACACCTGTGCAATACCCGCAGAGGTCAGAAGAGGGCATCAGATCCCCCAGACCTGGACTTATAGATGGTTTTTAGCTGCCATGTGCACGATGGGTACTGAACCCAGGTCCTCTGCAAGAGCAGCCAGTGCTCTTAACCACTGAGTCTCTCTGTAGCCTTCTCCAAATAAATCTTTTTTTAATATTTTATTTATTATTTTCATGTATATGAGTATTTTGTTTGCATGTATGTAAGTGCACCCATGCCGTGTAATGCCTGCAGGGGGTCAGAAGAGGGTGTCTAGATTTCCTTGGAACTGGAGCTATAGATGTTAGATGCCATGTGGGTACTGGGAATTGAACCCAAGTCCTCTGTAAGAGCAGCCAGTGCTCTTAACCACTGAGCCATCTCTCTAGCCACAACTGGCCTGGATTTGTTATGGACACCAGGCTGCCCTTGAACTCACAGAGATCTGCCTGCCTCTGCCTCTGGAGTGCTGGGATTAAAGGCATGCACCACCCCAGCTCCAATAAATAAGTCTTAAAAAGGAAAAAAAAAATGTAGCTGGGCATATGGAACAGACTATAGTATTTCTTCCTTGTGACTAGATGTAGCTATTTATTTACTTGTCTTTTTGAGACAGGGTCTCCCTGTAGTCCCAGCTGACCTGAACTCACAATGTAGACCAGGCTGGCCTTGAACTCACAGAGATCCGCCTGCCTCTGCCTCCCAAGTGCTGGGACTAAAGGCGTGCACCACCACGCCCAGCCCATTTTTTAAAGCTTTTTAAAAAAATATTTTATTTAGGGGTTGGGGATTTAGCTCAGTGGTAGAGTGCTTGCCTAGCAAGCGCAAGGCCCTGGATTCGGTCCTCAGCTCCAAAAAAGAAAAATATTTTATTTATTATTTTTATTTTATGTGTATGCATGTATTGCCTGCATGTAGGTTAAGTGCACCCATGTCATGCAATGCCTGCAGAGGTCAGAAGAGGCTGTCAGGTCCCCTAGGACTGGAGTTACAGACAGTTGTTAGCTACCATGTGGGTGCTGTGATCCAAACCCAGGTCTTCTGCAAGAACAGCCAGTGTTCTTAACTGTTGAGCCATCTCTCCAGCCCCTGTCTCCTACTTTCTTAAATCTCCCTTTAAAGACCTCTTGTTGGCCCTGAGGATCAAATGCAACTTTGGACAAGAGCCCTCCATCTTCTCATTTAGCTAACCTTTGGAATAAAAAATCATCTTCCTCTCCCAGGCATGGTGGCACATGTCTGTAATCCCAGCCCTGAGGAGAGTGAGGCAGATTGAGACCAGCCTGGGCTACACAGTAAGGCCTGGTTCGTGAAACAAAATGAGAAAGTTGCCTTCCTTGCCTTGACACCTTGCCTTGATACCTTGTCCTTCAACTGACCTGGCTTGTCATGCAGTTAAGTAGCTAGACTCAAGTCAAGCAAGTGTTACTCCATGCCCAGCCTGATTCTTCAACCTGCCCCTGGATCCTGGGAGCATCACTTACTCTTCAATTAAATTTCCTTTTTGCTTAAAGTTATAGTCTGTGTCACAAAGAACCTTAATTGAGGCCTCCAGATGCTTATGGGTAAAGGCACTCACTGACAAGCCTGACCACCTTACAACCTTAGTTCAATCCCTCAGACCCACATGATGGAAAGGGACAACCAACTCTTGCAAGTTGTCCTCTGACCTTCACACATGCAAGAGCTCTTGAGCGTGCATGGACACACACATACATACACACACACGTACAAATAAATAAATAATAAATAAATAAATAAAAATTTAAAAAGCATCTTAACTGATAAAACAAATTTGCACATTTTGGAAAAATGTGAACTGTGCTTGGGTTTGGTGTCTATTACATGATAAAAGGAGGAAACTACTCCCTAGGATATAAGTTCAGACTCAACTCAGCCTAAGTCATCTATCCTGACAAGATGCAGTTTATCACACGGAGTACCTGTGGCCCAGTAGTAAATATCCCAGTCATTGCTAGGCTCGTTGATCAGACGATCGTAGAGGTTAAGCTGCTTCTCCGTCATGGTGTGAAGATATTCCTTAGCGAAGAGGCTGAAAGCAACAAGGCAAAGCGGTTACGAGACTGCCCCAACAGAGGGCAGTGGCACCAGGCCCTTGCTCCTACCTAAGGAGAATGCAGTTCTCCAGCATGCCCCTCTTCCTGCTCTCATAGAGGAGGCGGGCTCTTTTGGTTTCCAGGGATTCATCAGTTCTCTCCTGCCACGGAGGCAAAGGAATTTCAATCATGTCCTTTTGAGAATCTGTTGGGCTATCACCTCTGTAAAAGCATCTGGATGATGTTCCACTGAGCAAAGGAGACAGCAGGCTGTGCTTTGACAGCATCTGAAACAAACCACAAACATCTCTGTAGTACGGTCATTACCATCACTGTCATCTGCTCAACACATGAGGTGCTGAATGCACTAGAGTCTACATGGTCCTTCTTCTGATTCTGTCCCCACTTTACAGCCAAGGAACCCAGAAATCCATAAATGTGAGGCTCACAGAGGATAATCATCCAAGTAGAACCACAGACATGCGTTCTTAAATTGGGCAACACACCTCATTCCGTTGAGCAGAGTGAAAGTTCCAGATGTGTTGCTAACCAACCTTTCCAGAAATTATCCCAGCAGAAATACTGTCTCCTGCACTCCTTTAAAAGCACAGTCTCTCACTTCTGTTAAACCCTGAAGATACCCAGATCTCCCAAAGGCTCCTGATCTAGAGAAAGGCATAATCTATAAGATAAAACAAGGAAAGGCTGGGGAGATGGCTCAGTTGGTAAAGTCCTTGCTGTGTAAGCATGAGGATCTGAGCTCAAATCCTCAGCACCCATGTAAAAATCAGGAGTGGGGGCATGCATTTGCAACCCCTGCACCGTAGGCTTGAAGACAGGTAGATCCCAGGGTCTCTGCTGGCCAGAAGACTAACCAAAACACCAAGCTCCAGGTTCACTGAGAGACCCTGTCTCAAAAAACAAGGTGGAAAGTGATAGAGGAAAGATAACTGACATTGATTTCTGGCCTCTACACACACAAGGATGAGGACGTGTGCAAGCACATCCTCATACATATTATGTATAAACCAGCACACATGTTGTATGTACACAAAACCAAAAAAAAGAAGATAGGACAGGGCATGGTTGTGCATGCCTTTAATTCCAGTCCTTGGGAGGTAGAGATAAGCAGATCTCTGTGAGTTTGAAGTCAGCCTGGTTTACAGAGCAAGTTCTAAGATGGCTGAGGCTACATAGCAGGACCCTGTCTCAGAGATGGGTAAGGGTGCTTACAGCCAAGCCTGATGACCTGAGTTCAATTCCTAGGACCCATATAGTAGAAGGAAAGAACCAACTCCTCCAAGTTGTCCTCTGACCTCCACCCCACAAATGTGTAATGCGTACACACACACACACACACACACACACACACACAAATAAATGTAAAAATAAAAAAGATATTTGGGAAGGTTGTGCTGTCAGAATAAGAAGGCCTACACCCTCTCCCCCCAACCCTCCCAACAAAGACACTGATTCAACAATACACAGATTCACTCCCTCTGTGTGAAATCCAGAAAACAGGATCCAGCACAGGATCCAGCACCCCCTATGAGTACAAAACCAAGTGTACCAAAGCCAATAAGGAAAGTTGCGGAACACACTTGCCCTAACCCTACCCCCACACAACGTGACAGGGAGAAAACTCTCAGTGTCTGGCTTCTACCAGGGAGGGAAAGGTAAGACTCAAATATATGCCCAATGTTCAGACTCCTGGAACGTTGTCAAAATGGTTAGTTTCTGCTCTGACTGAATTGTAAGTGCTACAGGAAAGGTAACTGGTTGGGAGCTATAGGAAACAGGTGACAGTCTGCAGCAGCGCTTGTTCGCTACAATCCCATTCCTGCCTTAATGTGGAATGAAAACCCACAACTCCTGGCTTCTCCCTGAGCAGATACAGTAGGTGTGTCCACCTAATGCTCCAGCTTAGGTGGGGTGCTGCCTGTAGTACTGCGTTCTGTCTCTTGTCTCAGAGTACTGACAGGACACAGCTTACTCCAGATGCCTAGGTCCACTGACTCCAGAAGAGTTAACAGCATACTGTTGATCCAGAGAACCTCTGACACAGCAGAGAATCCAGTATAGTTTGGTAGCCTCTCCCCAGGACCTGGGGAGGAGTGCTGAATGGCTAATGTTCTGGGAGGTTTTTTGGTGTTGCCCAAGTCACTGGTTTCTCTTTTGTCTCACAACACTAATAGTTGTGGAATATTCTAGAAGTCTGGCAGTCACTGAGAATAAGCAAGCGAAGGAGGGAGGTAACTCTAGTGACTTGCAGCAGCTCCAAAGAATCTATAGTATCACCTGGACACCAGAGAAGCTGCTGATTATGAATTGATGGAGGACAACAAAAATTAGAAGTCTACACCCACTTTGTCTAGAAAAGTCATCCACAGAAAAGGATTGAGGCTTTCCTTATTGGTAAATAAGGAAGCCAGTCCATGAAGATTGGGTGTTACATAGCTCTTTCCCTCAAATTCAAACAGTTCCTCCTGGAGGGATGCTTCAAAGACTCAGGAAGCCAAGGAAACTTAAGGGATTCAGGATGCTCGGGAAAGATAGTAGATTTACAAGAGCTCTCCCCAAGTACACAATTGGACAGAGAGGCAACTCTTCCCCAAGCTGCCTGTAAGTTGCAGAGAACTCTTGGTTTGCAGCTCCTGAGTCCTCATGCATGCCAGGGTGGGCTTTTCAGTGATATAGCTGTGTCTGAGTCACCTGTGTCCCAAAATAAGAACTCCTCACTCATGTTCCTGTAGTAACCCCAATGAACTCACTGGCTTACCAAACTAAGGTGGAATTGTTTCGTCTGCTGCTGGTGGCCTACCCGGGGTGAACACATGTTTTTTCACATATCCCTAGGAAAAGTAACACAAAAGAGATGATTTTCCAAATGCACAGATCCCAAAATAAAGTTACAATGTACATCAAAAAACAGGATAACATGTCCCTATCCAAATGCCAAAATAAACCTCTAGAAAGTGAGCTTAAAGAACTCAAGTGTAAGAGCCAGTCATCTATGATCTCAGCTCCTAGAAGACTGAGGCAGGAGAATCATCATGAATTTGAGGCCAACCTGGGCTACACAGAGGTTTGAGGCCACTTTGGGGTAGAATGAAACCCTGTCTCTAAAATAGGAATAAAGGGCCGGAGAGATGAGTTGCCAAACATTTAGATCCCAGTTCCATCCCCAGAATCCACACAGTAGGAGAGAACCGACTCCCACAAGCTGCCCTCTGACCTCCAGATGCAAGATATGGTGCTGTGTCCACCTAGCCCATTCTACTCCTGCTAAACAAATAAGTAAAACAACACAACACCACCACTACCCAGAGGTGTATGAGGTACCTGATGAAAATTCCAAAACAGCCTTCATAAAGATGCTCAACAAGCTCGGAGAACTATGACTGAACTAAATGGGAATATTGACAAAGAGGTGGAAAACAGTCACTAAAGGAGCTGCAGAAAAAATTCACTAGAGAGATTCAACAGCAAGTCTGTTTGATGCACAACTCGTCTGAAATTACCCAGTAAGAGCAACAGAACTAAAAGGATGAAAAAGGGCCTAAGAGACTAGAGGGCACCATCGAACAGACCAAAGTATTATGAGAGTCTCAGAAAAGAGAGAAAAGAGGGCAGAAATCTTCAATCTCCTCTGCCTCCTTAGTGCTTGGATGAAAGGCATAGGCCACAATGCCTGACTAAGGGCAGAAACCTCATGGCGGCTAACAAGTCTTAACTCCAGTTCTAGGGGATCCAACACCCTCTCTGGCTTCCTCAAGCATTGTACAACATGGATACACTTATATACATGCAAGCAAAACACTCATACACATCATCATCATCATCATCATCGTACCGGGTGTATTGGTGCCTGCCTGTAATCCCAGCACTTGAGAGATGGAGACAGGAAAATGAGCTCAGGTCATTGTGGTTAATCTTCATTATCAACTTGAAAGGAATTATAATCACCTTGAAAACACACCTCTGGGTGTGTCTGTGAATGTGTTTTCAGAAAGGTTTAACAGAGCAAGGAAGACTCTCCCTGAATGTGGGTGGCACAATCCCATGGGTTCTGGTTTTGGACTGGATGAAAATGAGAGTGAGCTGAGCACCATTCATCTCTCCCTGCTTTCTGACTACATATACAATGCCATTGGGGGCTCCTGTCTTCCTTGCCTTGATGGACTGTAACCTCAAATTGTAAGCCAAAATAAACTTTTCATTCCTTACTTACATTGCTTTTGTCATATATTTGGTCATAGAATAAAGAAAGGTTAATTAATAGTCATCTCAGCTACACTGCAAGTTCCAGGCCAACCTGGGCTACACAAAACCCTGTCTCAATAAAACAGAGAGAAGGCTCAGCAGTTAAGAGCACTGACTGGTCGTGCAGAGGACCTGGGTTCAGTTCTCAGCACCTACATGGTGGCTAACTACCATCCATACCTCCAATTCCAGAAGATCCGACACCCTCTTCTGACCTCCAACCTCTGTGGGTATTACACAACACGGGTGTGCTTACATACATACAGGTAATACACTCATACACATAAAAAATAATAAAATTTTAAGAAAAGCACACTCACTGTTCTTGTAGAGGACCAGAGTTTGGTTCCCAATACCAATGGTCAGGTGGCTCACAACCTCCTGTCACTCTAGCTTCAGGGGATCTGACACCCTCTTCTGGCCTCCTCAGGCACTCTCTGAAACAGACACAGACACACAGACACAGACAGACACACACACACCCCCTTTTACAATAAAAATAATGGTGAAACTTCCAAATATTTGGGGGGGGGCATACCAATTCAAGAAGCCCAAGAAACCCCAAGCATCATAAATCCAAGAAGTCCACACTGAAACACAAATTGTTGAGTAAGTCAGAAAATAGATGCCAGGAATGCGCATATACAAACACCATGTAAGGGCACAATGAAAAGTGCCCATTTGTGAGCCAAGGAGAGAGGCCACCAGAGAAACAATTCTGTCTTCATCTTGGACTTCCAGCCTCCAAAACTGTGAGAAAAGAAATTCTGTAGTATAGCAGCTCAAGAAAATTAATACAATTAGAGTCAAAATTCAGTTACCTAAGCTACAACCTAAAGATTGGATCAGAGTCTCTAGGAATGGGCACCTGAAAATGCTTTAAAAAAAATCTTTGTAGCTGGGCTTGGTGGCACACGCCTGTAGTCCCAGCACTCAGGAGGCAGAGGCAGGTGGATCTCTGTGAATTCAAGGCCAGCCTGGTCTACATAGTGAGTTCCAGGACAGCTGGGGCTACAGGGAGACCCTGCTTCAAAAAGACCAAAAAAAAAAAAACAAAAAAAAAAACTTTGTGTATGTATGTTGTGTGTGCACAAACAAATTAGTGTGTGTGAGCATGGGTGTGCATGTCGAGGTCAGAGGACAACCTCTTTTGCACCTTGTTATGAGACAAAGTCTCTGTTGTTTTTTGCTGTGTATACGGGTCTAGCTGGCCTGCAAGCCATCAGGGACTCTCCTGTGTCTACCTCCCACCTCACCACAGGAGTGCTAGAATTATAGTGTGCGCCACCACTAAACTTTACATGATGCCTGGGATTAAACCCAGAGTGCTAAGCAAGCACTGTACCATGAGCTACATCCCCCATTTGTTAATTAAAAATAATTTTTCCAAAAAGACTGTCAAAAATTAAAGACCAAGATTGAATACTGTCCTAGTTTGTCTCTCCACTGTTGTGACAAAACACTCTGACCACAACCAACTTGGGGAGGAAAGGGTTTATTTTATCTTATATCTCCCGGGTCACAGTTTATCAGGGAGCCCAAGGTAGGAACTCAGGGCAGGAACCTGGAGGCAGGAGCTAAACCACAGACCATGGAGGAGTGCTGCTTACTAGCTTGTTCCCAGGGCCCCTGCTCAGCCTGCTTTCTTATGCAACATAGGCTCACCTGCCCAGGGGTGGCACCACCCACAGTGGGCTGGGCCCTCCCACATCTCTCACCAAGAAGATGCCCCTCAGACATGGCCACAGGCCAGTCCAATAGAGGCAATTCCCCATTAAGGCTCCCTCAACCGAAGTGTGTCAAGTTGACACTAATATCCAGCACAACTGACCCATCAACCTGACACACAAACATCACTATTAAACCATAACTTTCCAATTTCTGTCCCCAAGATATGATGTTAATATCACAACATAAGACAGTACAACCTTAAAAACCCCACAGTCCTTAAAAAATCCAAACACTTAAAAGTTCATAGTCTCTTTTAAAAGTCTCTTAACTGTGGGTGGGCGTCCACAAAATCCAAAACAAGCACTGTCTTATTTCAAAGAGAAGAATCAGGCACACCTAAGCAAAACCAAAGTGCAGCAAAGTAGCTCAAGGCTGAACATCTGGGATTCACTCACGATCTTCTGAACTCCAAAGGGTTCAGGCAGTTCCACTTCTCTGACTCTGCCATCCACAGTACACACAGCTTGTCTCTTAGACCCCGGCCAGCTCCATTCCATACCTACTGCTATCCTTGGTGGTTGTCCCACGGTCCTGGAATCTCCAAAAAAGCTGGGGTCTCCACTGAAACTGAGGCTACACCTTCACCAATGGCCTCTTCTTGCCTCTTGGGGTGCAAAGCCTCAAATTCAATCCATGACCCCTTCAATACTGGGGTCTTCACTGCAACTGAAACTGTACTTTCACCTATGGCCTTTCCTGGCCTCTCAGAGTGCCAAGCCTCAGCTGTTCTCTGTGACCCCTTCACACTTTCATCACCAGAACCACGCAGGAGACTCTTACACATTACCAAGTCCTGCTTCTAGCTTGAGATGGAGGCTCTGGTCCCCTCTGTGTGCTTACCCTGAGAAAATACCTCCCAGAAGATTTCACCTCAGTGATGCTGGTCTCTTGTTACAGCTGATTTTTCAGCCCCAGCTAACCAGCATCAATTGTCCCAGTAAAGGTTTTGCTTCAGGTTCTAGTCTCAATCACAGTTGATTCTTCAGCCCCAGCCAACCAGAACCCACAGATTCTCAATCTAAAATCTCACACGAACAGCCTTGATAGCTTCCCTTTGAAGCTTCACAAGCCAGGCCTCCATCGTCCACAACTCTTTCAACATAACTGTTCCAAGCTCCACAGCAACAAACTGAGCACGCAATGGCTTTTCCAGCCCAAAGTTCAAAACACTTCCACAGTCCTCCCCAAAACACCAAGGTCAAGTCTGTCACAGCAATATCCCACTCTGGTACCAATTTCTGTCCTAGTTTGTCTCTCCATTGCTGTGACAAAACACTCTGACCACAACCAACTTGGGGAGGAAAGGGTTTATTTTATCTTACATCTCCCGGTCACAGTTTATCAGGGAGCCCAAGGTAGGAACTCAGGGCAGGAACCTGGAGGCAGGAACTAGAGCACAGACCACGGAGGAATGCTGCTTACTGGCTTGTTCCCAGGGCCCCTACTCAGCCTGCTTTCTTATGCAACATAGGCTCACCTGCCCAGGGGTGGCACCACCCACAGTGGGCTGGGCCCTCCCACATCACTCACCAAGAAGATGACCCTCAGACATGGCCACAGGCCAGTCCAATAGGAGCAATTCCCCAATTAAGGCTCCCTCAACCCAGGTGTGTCAAGTTGACACTAAAGCTATCCAACACAAATATTGAAAGCAAGAAAGGAACCCTAAAAAATCATCAAGGCTGGGTGCGGCGGCGCACACCTTTAATCCCAGCACTCGGGAGGCAGAGGCAAGTAGATCTTTCTGAGTTTAAGGCCAGCATATATCACAGTGAAAGATTTATCGTCCTCTTTTTTTTTTTTTTTTTTTTTTTTTAAAAAAAAAAAAAAAAAAAAAAAAAAAAAAAAAAAAAAAAAAAAAATCAAATGTTCTCAGTAGAAATCTGCAGACAAGTGGAATGAGATAATCTGAAACATTAAAAAAAGCTGCTAAGCAAATGTACTGCATCTGATAACTGACCTTCTAAAATGTGAAGTAGATTTTCCCAAATAAATAAAAGCCAGGGAAATTATCACCACTAGAACTGCTTTACAAGAGACACTGAACGAGTCCAAGCAGAAACGACGGGACACTGGAAAGCAGCACTAAAACATGGTGTTCCCTGGCTAGCCTGGAATTTCCTGTTAGACCAGGCTGGCCTCAAACTTGCAGCGATTCTGAAGTGCTGGGATTACAAATATGCACCACCAAGCCCAGGTTTTTTAGTTTTTTATCTTTATGAGACAGGGTCTCCCTGTAGCCCCAGCTGTCCTGGATTCACCATGGAGACCAGGTTGGCCTTGAACTCACAGAGATCCACCTGCCTCTGCCTCCTGAATGCTGGGATTAAAGGCATGCGCCACCACGCCTGGCCTTCTTTCTTTTGAGAGGATGTGTCTCATTAGGTTGCCCAGACTGGTTTTTTGGAATTCTTCTGCCTCAACCTCTCTAGTAAATGGGATTAAATGAATGTACGTCTATACACAGTTTGTAAATCACTTTTGGAGGGGGTCTTAGGGGGTCTCCCTGTAGCTCCAGCTGACATGGAACTCACTATGTAGACCAAGTTGGCCCTGAACTCATAGAGATCCGCCTGCTAGGACTAAAAGCGTGTGCCACCATGCCCAGCTAAATCACTTTTAATTCTGGTACAGAAGCTAAATTCAAAGATCTACCTATCTATATCTATATATAGAAAGATATAGATATGTGCATAAAATTACAAATATTTGTTAATGGATGCACATTACTATTATACTCTGTGGGTTAGAGAGATGACTCAGCAATTAAGGGCATATATTGCTCTTGAAAAGGAGCCAAGTTCAGTTCCCAACACTCACTTTGGGCAGCTCACAAGCACCTTTAACTCCAGCTCCAGGAGATATAATACCCTCGTGGCCTCAGCAGGTACCTGTGTTCATGTGCACGTACACACACAATTAAAGCATATAATTAAGAATCTTCAAAAAGAGTATACTGTGACATCACACAAAAGGGAGTAAAAGAATGGTTTTGTATGCAGTCAAAATTATCAGTTTAAAATAGAAGATTTTCTACGTAAGCCCCATCATAAGCATAAAGAAAATATCTTTAGAAGACACACGAAAGAAAATGAGACTCCTAGGGCTAGAGAGATGGTTCTTAGTGCTCTTGCAGAGGACCTATGTTCTGTTCCCAGCACCCACACTGGGTGCTCACAACCATTTGTAACTTCAGTTCCAGCCACCTTCTTCTGGCCTCTGTAGACACCTGCACACAAACGGCATATGTATGTATACAGACACACACACGCACACTTACTTTAAAAAATCTTTTTAAAAAAGAAAAGTAGGATTACCTAGCATGCCCAAGGCCCTGGGTTTGATCCTCAATACTAAAAACAAATTTGTCACATGAAACAATGGACATTATATAATGTTAGGGGGGATAATTCATCAGGAAAGTGTAAGAGTCATAAATGTTATGTGGCCCTTTCATTTGAACAATTAAATATATGAAATGGACACAGACAGAACTGACAGAAGAAAATAGCAACAAACAGATTTTTAAAACCCCACTTTCAGTACAGGAAAAAACATCCCAGATGGTGGATCAATAACAGAGAACTTGAACAATACTACAGACTAAGTATAGCTAACATAACAGTCCACACAACAGATCACACATTCTTCTCAAATGAACATTCCCAGAAAAGATCGTGTTATGTCACAAAACAAATGACAAATTTAAGAAGATAAATTATACCACTTATCTAGTCAACCATACTGGAATACAACATGAAACCAATAGGGGGAAACTAGAAAATTCACAAAACATGCAGATGTTTAAAACACGTTTAAACAACCAGCATGTCAGAGTACTGAAAATAATTTTTTTTAAATTTCAAGGTAAACTAAAGTTCACCATACAAAACAGCGAGTTAACAAAAACAGTACCAAGAGATCATTTTATAGTGATGAATACCTATACTGAAAAATAAACAAGCTGAGCGTGTGTTGGTTCAAGCCTGTAATCTCAGGCCTAGGGAGGCTGAGACAGGAAGAAGATTACGAATTTGAGACCAGTCTGGGCAAAACAGCAAGGCCATGTCAAAAAAAAAAAAAAAAAAAAAAAAGAGCGCGCAGAGGACATGAAATCATGCGAGGGCAGGTTAGGCACTAGGGAGGCGGCTGGGTAACTATGCCTGGAGACAAACGAAACCTCAGTTGAGTCTTGCAGGATGACTGACCACTTAACCAGTTACCAAGTACTGTCACTCAACTCAGGAAAGGATGGCAAATGACCTCCACCTCCGGCGGAGGATCGGCCGCGCCCGGAGGCTGACCTCGCCTGCGCTGTGGGCGGATGGACTCTCCCTACAGTCTCCACGACACAAAAGAGCACGAACCCGCCCGCCCCGAACCCTAGAGCCTCCGCTTTCTCACCCGCGCCAGAGCCGGGAGCAAGGTGGCCACCGCCATGTCGCCCTACGGCACCGGAAGTCGGCCAGGAGGCCACTTCGGGGAAGCCCCAGCAAGCGACCAGCTAGCGGACTTGGCTAGCTGTGGGGGGTAGGACCCTGAGCCGGAAGGTGCGTCTTAGCGTATGGCGGAAGTAGCCGTGCGTGTGACGCCGCCGGAGGGGGGGGGGCGGGACCTGAGGCGGAGAGCGGTTCGCGCGCTTCGGGCCTAGTCGGGACTCGCCGCCGCCGCCGCCATATTCCCGGTAACGGGGGCGCGCGGCCGGGGGCCGGCGGGGCGGAAAGGAGGACCGGGACCAGCGTCGAGGCGGGGAGGGGGTCGGTTGAGGGGGCGGCGGCGGCGGCGGGTGAAGGGAGGCGCGGGCCTCTGAGGGAGGAGCTGAGGTGCCGGGGCTGTCGGGAGGGAGCGGGGCCGGCCTAGTCGAGGGCGAGGACAGGGCTCGGCGGGAGCGGAGGCGACGGGAGCTTCCGGGCCCGCGGGGTTTTGGCCCGGGCGGCCCCCGGGGCTGAGGCAGGTGCGGCGAGCTATGCTGGCGGCCGTGCCCGCTCACCTTCACCCATTCTGACGGCCCCTCGAGAGTGGAGGCCTGGAGTTCGCCGCGGCCAGCTAATCGGCGCAGTTTGCGTCGGGCCCACGGGTGATGGGCAGCGAGCCTCGCGAGCCCGGGCCGCCTGGGGGGTGGCGAGCTTGGGGGCGGGGCCGGGCTGGGCTGGGTTCCTGGAGACTCGAGGCTCGTAGCCCCAACTCCTCCCGGCCCGGGTCCCTCGCGCCTTCTAATTGTTGCCCCTTTTCTGCATACCGCAGTGGCATCTTTCTTACCTTGTGGGTTCTCTGGGCTCGAGAGCGTATTTCCGGAGCCATGTCAGAAGGAGTGGACTTGATTGATATATACGCCGATGAAGAGTTCAACCAGGTAGGTGAGAGCAGTTTGGGGTTTTGCTCCCTCGGCCTACTCGCAGCGGTTTCTCTGTCGGCTCCAGAAATTTCCTCTTAGTTTCTGAGTTTCCCCCTAGCGGGGACTTTCAAGAGGACTGACCACTCCGCTTTTAAGTTCATTTGAACCTCCAGGCTTCGTTTTTTTGTTAAAGGGTTTGCTTTAAGAGCAAATAAAAATCAGGTGTAATAGGATCGTGAATCAACCTTGGAAGCCAAAGTTGGATGACCAACTATAATTAAAAACTACAGTTACATTGCAGTATTCTCCGGGAGAATGTTGATATTTGTTACTTTGCTGTTCTCTCAGATTGCAGAATATTGGTCCCCACCTCCCGCTAGTCCCAGTGGTGCAAGCTGTACCAAAGGTACTTAAAAAGATTCTATAAAATATGCTTTAGCTGTAAGTCCAGCTCCATTTTGGGTGTTTTCAGGCTTTTATAAGTAGTTTGACTCTGGTCTTGAGAAGTTTGTGGGCATTTTGGTGTAATGTTTTACTTATGAACCTTTCTGATTCTAGAGAGTGGGAGAAAGGTAAAGACTTAAACTAGTTTAATAGCAGGTCAAAGACGCACTCGTCCTAGGTTGAATTTGTTGGTGTCTTTATATTTTTATTACAATACCAGAGAATATACAAAGATTTCCCGTGAAACAGTGATCTATGTAGTTCAGTTCTGTGATCTTCAAGCTCAACAGTAATGCAGTCTTTTTTTTTTTTTTTTTTTTTTTTTTTTTTTTTTTTTAGGTGTGGTTCCCCTTTACC